CATGCTGCTACTCTGGTTTAAACTGCATCCACCAAACAATATGATTTATCTCCACCTCCCCAAAATAACCAAAATCTGACACGGTGTGAGATGTCTTTTTTAGCTGTCCTGTCGTCATTTCCTGCTATCTTCTTCATAAAGTCAGTCAAAATGAATGAATGAATGGGCGTTTCTTTGACTATTTATAGGCAAATGGGCGTTACGTGAAGCCCGCAAAAGCTGCACCGCATTTCGAGTCGATTTGGATTTATAAAGGGAAACCGGCGTAGGAAGTGCTGGTACGCAATGTTTGGTGAATCGGAAAATGTCGGTACCTATTTTTTGGATTTCTACTACGTAAGCAACCTTCCCACGTGAATTCTACGCACGGCGTTATAAATGAGGCCCCTGGATATAAGGAGCTTTTTAAACAACAAGGTGGAGGGAGAACTCTCGCCTGTCTGACTGAGAGGCTCTGATAACCCCAGCTCAGTGAGGTAAAGGACTCTCTCAGTGTTTAGATTACCCACTGAGATAACTAATCTCAGTGGGTAATCCTTTTCTCAAACGGTTTGGTCACGATTAATGTAAACAATTAATTCCGAGGCGCGTTTATATGATCATTATAGGTATAAAAAAATAAGAGAATAAATGAAAAACAGGTATGAAATACTATGACAGTAAAACAAGAATACAGTTTAAAGAGTGATTTGTAAAATATCCATAAAGAAATAGTAAATCTGTTTACAGTTCTGTTTCAAATGGGTGTTGAGAGATTTATCCATAGATCTCTTAATGTTGCTCTCAAAATGCACCAGATTGATGCTTTTAACTTCAATATTTCTTTTTAAATCTTCCTGGGAGAGCTTGCCCCTGGATCCCCCTATGTAAGGTCCACACCACCTATAAAAATAGCACTTTACCCCTGCTTACGCTTATGCCGTGAGCTGATTATCAAGCCTTCATTGTAACAGTCGTGGGTACACTGTGTATTTGCGTGGGGATTGTTGCAGTAGAACATTCCACTGTAGCGCCCGGTACATTAATAGGAAACCTTAAATGTTTGAGCACCCTATGAAACGTCAAGCTACCCCACAGCACCCCCAAAATAAATCTCTGGCGCCGCCCCTGAGCCTGCAACCCCGTTTTGAAGAAACGTGCAGTGCAAAACAGGCTCATTGCAGCCACTAATGCTGTGATAAGACACACTTTTTTGCCAAATATCAGCATTTTCTTGCACAGATTGCAAAGTGGCAAAGTATTATAACTTATTGTTCTAGCAAAGGGATTGCACAATTGTATTAAGTATTTATTTTTTGAGCACACAGACTTATGGAGCATTGTTTTATTATCACTGTTCTAGCAAAGTGTTTTATTTTATTTTTTTTAAAGGAATGCTCACGTTCATATTGATGTATTTTAATAAATGTTAACTTGGCCCATTACGTGACTATTTGTGTTGGGGGGTTTTCTCCAAAAGGGGGGCCTGACAGAAAAAGTTTGAGAACCACTGGGCTAAGGTTTCAGACAGAGGGTGAAAAGAGGTGCTGCAGCACAGGCAGTATACATATCTAACAAATCTAAGAATT